CATCTGCATAAACACCTCTGTGTGCATTCGAACCATATCTATCAGTGGCCTATTGGTCTAACAAATAAAGCACAAATTGTGCACTTCCGGCGAGATTGTGCAATGTGTTTCCCACGGCCCCTCCCTACCCTATTTCCGTCCTTTCACCTTATCGCTGCAACTGGGCATATATCTCCCATAACTGATTAACGTTCAAATTGTTATCAATTTGTAATTACGAAAGCACTGTTGGGCTTTTGGTTTTATGCAACAATAGAAACTATGCTTTCCTCTAGCTATCCCTTTCAAAATATGTATCTCTCTCTTCTTTCTTTTCATCTGGTGTAATTCCCTCCCGCTGTTTTCGGAACGAAAGTGTTGGCTTGGCATGAAAAAGCGTTTGCGGTTAGGAGCGGCTGTTGCGGTTGTTTTCCAACGCCCCTGCTGTTCGTCGAATATGCAACACCAGCAACAGGATGTAATACCCTAGAAATTAAAAAAGAGAAAGTTAAATCAAATATTAATAAGAAAGGGTTTTCAAAAATATTTTTAAATTTAAAAAAATTTCTTAAATTTTCATTACGAGTACTTTATTTGCAATAAAAATTAACATCAAAATCTTTAGTTGTTTTGTTAAAAACGCGAAACTAACAGTCCAAATATTTATTAACATTATTACTTATAAATTTTATAAAAAATTAGTATTTATACTGAATATTTAAGAAATTCCTTTGTCGGATTCCTAAATTTTCTTGAAAAAGCAGCTCTTGCAAATTTCAAAACTCTACATTTTATAGCAACAAAAGAACAAAAACAATGTACTAAATTTCAACTCATTGGCTCAATTTTTCAAGTTTCTAACGAGGAAACCGAAAGATAAATCTCGAGAGCAGCGGAAGGGAAATAAACAAGAGTCGGACAAATAAGCAAATCAAAATGATGCCAACGAGTGGCATGAAATCAAATTGAAATTGAAACTAGACAAAGTGAATTGGCAGGGAGCCACAGTTGCCATTGTGCCAATCTTGGGTTTCGAAGGGTGGGGATCGGGATCCGATGTGTTATACAATATTATCATGCTTATATAATTTGCCCCACACACACACACACGCAGTGAGATATAGAGAAAAACACATGCGAAACTGCGATAAAGCTCGAGTAACAAAGTTGAATGGTTGTCTACATCGAGGGACAATTTTCGGGGAACGGGCAATTCCGGCGTATCAAAAGTTATTGTGCTTGTGTCTCTGTGAGTTCGACTGGAGCCAAGGATTATCAAAGTATTAGAGGAGCAGCGCACCAGACTCAGATTCAGACTCAGCTTTAGCTTCATCTTGAGCTTTGACTGCTCCTAAGTTTTCGCACTTTATGGGACATCGTAGTCGTTGTCTTTGTCGTTGTCCTGCTTGCCAAAAGCCTCGGGGGCTCATGTGGCAGGCTCGACTCGTCATAAAATCCCACACCAAGACACTCATAAAAAACCAATAAAAATTTGGTTTTAAAAGTATGCTTAAAATATTAAATATGCTTAAAATATTAATATTGTGTTCATCAATTTTTAATATTCAATTAATAATTTTGTTATTCTATCCATCTAAACTTTTAAAAAACACCAAAGATGCTGTTTTTCTCAGTGCAGGCACTACTGTGAGTCGAAATCGCAGAAAACGGAAGCCGGGCCAACGCACATGCATAAGTGAAAGACAAAAGACGCCAAAAGACAAAAGACACAGGGCTAACAAGAAAAAACCATGAGATAGGGAAGAGCAATAGGAACTACCAGAGCGGCAGGGAGGGCCCAGTTAAAGGACCAGGAATTGCAACTTGCTGCGACATGTAAGAATTATTATCTGCTCTTGCACTCTCAAGTGGACCCCAAAGAAATAGAGAGGGAGACAATGAATAATGTCCTTGGCGCGCAATGCGGAAATGCAGGCAGCTAGGACCCAAAAGGATCCACGAGTAGGTAAATAAAATAGAGCCATAAAGGAAATATGCTTTCACGTACATTTCAATCGACATAAAATTTTATAACCATCGTTTTATTTTCACTCAGCAAGCAAACAAAAAACACCCACAGAATGTATAAAATAAACTAACAACTTTTTCTAACTCTGGCATTTTTCCACAGTTTTGGCAACAAAATATTCCATAAATGTCTATAGCGCATTGAATTTCTGTGGTGTGCGGTTGGCGGATGTTTTATTTTTGCAACTCTCTACTAATTTGAAAATTGTTAGCTGCTTCAAATATGTTTTACGCCCTTTGCCCGTTTCTGGCACTTATTTGGCCTCGGGCCAAATTACTCGGCGCTGGTTAACAGGGCGTATGCATAATATGCTGTTTTGCTAACTTCTCTTTGAAGTGGCCCACGTGAGCATGGCAAACAATGTGCCATCGGGCATTTTTCAATATTTGCAAATTCACTGCTCACTTTTGTTTATTTCGTTGTTCCACTCTGTATTTTGATTTCCAATTTCAGTGCATTCAAGATTAAATGGTGGCCAATTAAAATATAATCAGCTGGCTAATTGAATTACGTAATATGTGGGTCAATTTGGGATTGCACTGGTTCGATGTATTAGAATGTTGCTGAGATTTAAATATTTAAATAGAGTTTGGAAAGGATATATTTTCTGCTGTTTATCACTTATACAGTGGCTACCACGATCTATATATTTTATATTTTTTAAACAATAACCAAATCTCTGCTTTTTCCTAATTCCCCTCTTCTAAATAAAATCAAATCCACATTATTACCTCGAAGCCAAGCCAAAAACATTCCCGAGTCATTTGTATTTATTCCTTTGTATCCGCAATGCAAATGAAGTCGCTCTTCTGGTGGTTACAGTTCTATCTTTGTTTTTATTATTTTTGCAATTAAATTTCATTTGCGGAAAGCACCCATATACACCAACAAATGGAAATGCCAGAGGGGAAAACAGCAAGCAGCAATTGCTGCGAAAGAAGTTGCCAAAAAGAAAAATGGGAGAGGGAGAAAATGTCTATCAGGGAATGCGGAGGAAAAAACAACAAATAATAACGGCGTTGATTTCATTTCTCATCTGGACCCCTGCCCTTCTGGCCCTTTATTTTGTCATCCCCTTCCATTGGTCGTCACTTTTTCGTGCTATTTCCTCTTTTTGTTCGCTTTGTTTGTCTACTTGTTAGCAGCCGCCTTGGCATTAACACGTTAAAAATTCGCTGTCCGCTTTTCCGTTTTTTTGCCGCCCGCACTCCTTTTCACTATTCCCGCTGCCTTTTAAGTGAGCCATAAAAAACAAAAATCAACGAGCTTTCTGTCGCCCAACGCCTCGTTATTTGTTTGGCCATGTTTACGGAAATCATTAACATTTTCCCCAAGCTCCCAGCGCTGCTCTAATGAATTGGAAGTGGTAGCTCCAAGAAAATGCCAGAGTTACAGCACAAATATAATGTTGAATAAAAGTAATTTGCAAATTGAAAAATCAAGCTGCGGCAAACTGAGAGAAACACTTTACGAGATGGAGTTCAGTTTGATGGCTTGTTATGCTGTATTTGAAAGGAGCAAGTTATTCTTTTTAAAATGTTCTTTTATTATGATTTTCTTTAGGACTAAATTATCACGATTTAGAACTATTCTAGGGCTTGGTTACTCATACAAAATCTCACTAGTACCATAAGTGAGAACGTTAAATGAAATTGGTTCCGGTGATTTATTAGGCTTACTTTGAATGCGGGTAATTGCCGTACTTTTCCCACACTTTTGCCCATTTTCCAGCTTCTCTCGCACTATGATGGCCTGCTTTTCAAGCCCCATAACGCGACCCCAATGGGGCTTTTCCCCCCAGCCACTTGGCACAACTCAACTTAACTTTTCACTTTCAATTTGCCAGGCTCTGCGGCCCATAAAGCGGGGCGTTTATGGCCAACACGCGTGGCCAATACACAGAAACCCGGAAAACCCACCGAAAAAAGAAAGTTTCATAATTCATAAGCTGCAGGAATAAACTGCCGACTGCCGAGAAAATCTACTAAGCACACGGCAGCACTTGGATTTACACTTTATGAGGAGAGGCAAATGTGGCATGGTATCCGTGTGAAGGCCACAAATCATGTTTTAACAACTTAATAAGTTGGGAAACGCTAGTCCAGAAAGCCAAATTTGAATATTGGCCCAGAGACGGGACATGTGTCTAACATTCTGTATTTCCTCAGCCAAATACTCCCCGGCTTTTCTACCTCATGACGTGCGCATTTTCCTGCTTCATCATCAAAAGCATACAAAAAAGAGATGGAGAGAAAGATGAGACCACTCCTCGATGCTTTTTATTTGCGCTGGCTTTTTATGACATTTCAAGGGAAAATTTATATAATAATCATAAAAGCGGGAGAGCATGACCGTTGCGGAAATGCTGCGATTTATTTGTATTTGCAGAGTCTTTTCCGCTCACTATGTTTGTGTTTTATTTGCAGCCAATTGATTTGACTGGCGGCGGGTAACTGGTAAGAGCGATGATGGGTATGATTTTGCTCTGAGTATGTTTTTTTTTCGTTGCCTCCGGGGATTGTTTTTGGCGATGGCGAACATAAAAGTGTAACATCATATGGCCGGAGCACTCGTCCTTTGGTGCACGAACCCATCATTGTTGCCACTGCGGCTCACTTTATGTGGCATGAATGCTTTTATGACCGCCCACATATCGCATGCGGAAAAGCTGTGGAAAACATTGGAGAAGTGGGAAAAGCTTGTACAGCAGTTCGGCCGTTTCACTGGGCATCAAATCAGGAAATTGTTGCAATTAAAGTGTAAATAATGATGCAGCTAACAATGAATTACGAGTGGCTGGGTACGGGGAAAGAGTTGGTTGTTTTTTCTTTAAGTTCTTTATGGCATCAGAGTTTTAAGCTTTTTCTTATTCTACTTAACTTAATTGTGGTAATAAATTCAGAATATTCTAATTGCATTACCTTTAAATATAAATATTGTATATTTTTAAAAAGTTAAAACCACTTTTACAGACAAAGTGGGCCTTGACGGAGAATTCCCCATTCATGTTAGCGTTTCTCTATAAGCCTTTCAGTTTACCCCTCAAACTCTACAAGGAAACATCTAACTTTGAGTTCTTACTTTAGTTTTACGAAGCATCACAATGTTGTGAGTATAAAAGCAAACATGTTCATCTTGAAATTTTACTTACCAAATACGATTTTCTATCAGTGAATCGTTCAATTGGAATTCGGGAGTGGATTTGAAGAAATATCGTGATGTCAAGCAACGCTTTGTGAAGAAAGTAGGGGACTTGGAGCGCAGAGGAGTTATGTGGGGTCGATTAATTGGTATCGAAGACGGCAAGGATGATGCTCTCTTCCGTTTTATGCGAGAGATTATCTAGGCTGGCTGACAAAATTTGAAAAATGTATCGCGGTGTTTCCTATAAGTTGCTTTAAAGTAAGACAAGAATAAACGCGTTCAATAAACAAAATACCCTTTTCCGTAAACAAATTGGATGTAGTTTCTTTTTTGTGACACTCGTATCTCAATTATTCGCTTAGCCTTTTATTACGTTGCCGTTGCCTGGCCAACGATTCAACCGCAAAAATGGAAAAACAAAAGAAAAAGCCTGAATAAAGAAAAAGCTTCGAAAATTTTCCACAGGTTCAGTCAAGCTGAAACATATGGCAGCACAGAGGAAAACTGAAAAGTGAGGTGGGAGAGGTAAAAAAAAAAAAAGTTACTGAAAAATTGCTGAAAAATGACATTAATTTTAATGCATCCCAACAATCCGAGCGAAGTGGAAAATACAAAAATTGTCCCAGTTTTTGTGCATCTTTTTTTTAATTAAAAATTGTTTGTGGCGCGCATTTTGCATTTTTGAAAAGTGGACAGGGAGGATGTGTTGCTGTGAATTTTTATTGTGGATTTCCTTTTATTGGCACGAAAAGAATCCTTTACCTTACCCCGCCGCTCCGCTTGTCACTTGAACTGTCAATTACATTTGTGAACCGCTCATCCTCGAGCTACCCCACATCAAACTCATTTTCGTGTGCATGCATGCGAAATTTTCCTTCGATTCTCTTATATTCGGTTTCATCTTTTTCGGATTTTTCCGCCCATATTGTACTTATATTGCTCAGTAGCGGCATTTGATTAACATTTAAATTTGCTTTCGGCGTATATGCAACTGACAGTTGAGTTTGGCTTGGGCTGCGGTACGAGTTTTCTTCACGTTTCCATTGCTTATGACACACAATAATCAATTGTTTTAGCCTCACTTATCGAGTGCCAATAGAATTCTAGCTTCGTCCTGTTCTGGACATTCGATTCAATTCGATATGAGTCAAGTCTGGTTATTGATGATGGCCCTGGAAATCGGACCACACTCGAGCGTATATTTATATTACAGTCGCTGCGGCAAATTGTTTATTGTTTATTGAAATGAAATATTGTTCTCCGATTCCTCGGCAATTTGCATGCGTTGATTGCTAAAATGAAGTGTGCTCTCGAAGGCAAATCAAAATACTGCCGTTCGTTTGACAATTGAAATGAATTCAATTGTTCGAAGGCATTGGCGAAAAGTGCACAAAATATTAGGCGAAATTCGACCAAAGGCTTTGTTCAAATTTATTGAAAATCCAATTCGATTTCCACTTTCTGCTCAGCCAAATTTATTTATAATTTATGTTAATGTATTATTTACAGTAATTGAAGACTTTTGATTTAATGCACTTCAAATGATTGATGAACAAATTAAATGTAAATAATATAATTAATCATAAAATCTTTTAAAAGTTCAAATGTGAACATTTTTTTATATATTAAAACCCTTTTCTGACCTCAATAATTAAAATATCATGAATATCAACTACGTTCTATACGATAATTAGCTTTTAATTGCTTTGATAAATGGCATTAAGAAGTGAAAAATATATTATATATCACTAATGTAAATATGTTGCTGTACTAATGGGTAAAACTTTATATAAAAACTATAATTTCGCATCTTGAGTTCAGATAATGCACTGTACTTTACTGTATTTTTCCATCCATAAAACCCTTCCTCTTCACAGACTTAACACGAAAACTGCAAAATCTGCGCTGTGAGAGCGTGTGTGGGATGTGGCTAAAGTAAATCCTGGCCAGAATGGTGGCAGGACTTAAGTACGTGTTGATTATGGAGCGTGTTTGTTATTATTATTGTTGCAGCAACATCTTCTTCTTCTTTGCCGTTGTGGTTAATGGTAGTGAGTTGGAGTAAAGTGGGGAGGGTGAAAACTTCTACACCATTTACCATATTCCACGACTAGCAGCAAGCGTAGTTTTTTATGCAAATATTTAAGAGCATCATCGAAGGCACGGCGAGTGCAAGATTCTTTCCACTCAACGGGGTGCAAGAGTGTGTGTGTGTGCGTGCAAGTGTGTCTGTGTGTGCAATAATGCCCTCTGAGTGTGTGAGTTGGTAAAAGAAGTAGTGGAAATCCCCTTCCTGCATAAGCCATATGTAGATATATGTTTATGTCTGTGCACTACACTCGACGATAAAATCGTCATGTAGTCGTAATGTCTGCATCAAATTGCATTTGCCCAACGCCTCTGGCACGTCGCTAACTCCCAGTCCCGCCCAGTTTTCACAACTGCCCCCATTTTCCCACCACACTTTTACCCATTTTTCCCCAGAGTGAGGATATGGGGCTTCCATATGTGTCGACATCGTCAACGCAATGTGTATTTATGCATAGTTTAATGCGGTTCAATGTCTGGTAACGACATCAAAACACAGCCAGGATGTTAGGGAGTCAAGAGGGGGACTGTTACACCCACTCCCACTCACTGAAGTCATAATCATAATCAGGAATCATAGTCAGTCGAAGGAGATAAAAAAGGAAGGAGCTGCGTCTGAGTTGAATAGATATTTTTATTATTTTCAAATTGAATTCGCATATCGTTAGTAGTGGCAAAGATCAAGGGAAATCGGAGAGCGAAAGGAAACTGCGCTTGAATGCACGTTAACCAAATCGGATTTGTTTAATATATGATCCGGAATTTGAATTTGATTGCTCAGTGCATTTCATGTGCATATCGATGGTTTGACAATGTTATGACAGGACTTAAGTGGGGGGATTAAATGACAAAATAGGGAAAGACCTAAATGACTACGATTAGGGGGATTAAATGGAGATTTAAAGAAGCAGAAAATAGAAGGGGAAACACTGAGGATGTGTTTATTTAAACTATTGCTTTAGAAATCAGCTTAAAGAACAAACGAAGTCTCTGCTTACAATGCAATAAATTTCAATATAATTTTCAATCCTTATATTAAATCAACACGCGCTGAAACAAGAGACCGGAAAAGTTGAGCCTAAATATATATCCCCAAACTGTGCGACGATAAGGCAAAAGAAATATGACCCTGAATAGCCTTCATTCCAAACTATTTTAAGTTAATCTAGGCGACGACCTTGGCTTTTTCCCAACCCGAACAAGACGCCCCATTCGTGTCATTTGCTTGTCTAGAGGCATTATATCATTCTGCTGATTTCAAGTACCAGCAGAGACGTATTTCACTCGGTGTCCTGGATCTTGTTTCCAGCGTATCCTGCGTGTCCTTCACCACTCTGACGATTTGAAGATGCAAAAATGTCCATTTAACCGAGATTTATGGCAGCCGCCAGGGTTATTTATGGCAATTTGTTTTATTTACACGATATCTGCCAGTGGCCAGATGGAAAGCCACCTCCATTCCCTGCCACTAAGCACTGGCAAATAAATTTGCACAAATTATTATGGGTCATGGGGATTAAATGCAAACACGCTCGGGTAGGAAAAAATAAACCTGGAGATGTGCCTATAGCCATGGTTAAATGGATAAAATTCGATGGGAAAATTGGTTGGTGAAGAGGGCAGGGCAGATGTGGGGAAAAGCCCGCCAGCGGGTCAGTTTATCGCATTTATTGGCGCTCTATATTTTATACATAAATTCTGAGCCACGTTGCAGGTGCAGCAGCTGCACACAAAAACAAACTGGCAAACACGCAAACAAACTGAAAAATGAAACCAAATGCAAATAGCTTAATACACATTTTTTGGCCTGGCCAAAACAAGCTCTTCTCCCTCTCATTTTATCCGCACCTATATAGTACACATATATCTGCATACATATAGATGGAAAATAGGGAAGCCCAGCAGCATAATGAATGCCACATAAATCCGCTGGCTCCGTGCACTAGATTTCATGGCAATGATTTTGTAATAAAAATGCATTTTTATTACGAAATAAATTGCATTCCTTTCGCTGCCTTTTCTTTATTTATAATTTTCCTTTTTTTTTCTTTGCTCTCTTTTGTCAAATTGTTTGGATAGTTGAAGTGGGTGAGATAAATCCCTCAAATCTTTATTTAAATTCTCTCGAAAAAATTGGTGAGCTGGATTCTGAAAAGAAATGAATGAAGCATGGAAAATGGTTGGGCAGAACAGCCAAATATTAATTAGTTAATTTAGGTTCAATGGCCCAGAAATGTGGGAAACTGGAAACGATTGCTTATTTAGCTGATTATCCTTGGGTTAATGTCGCGTGCACGTAATGGGAATTAATTTCGGGTACTAAGCAACTATAATGAAGAACTTAAAGGGGGATGCCTATTATATTATGTGTGACTAATAAGAATTATCAAGGAGACTTTTGAAACGGTGTAAATTGGGTTACATTTCTGATAGGCCCTTTACAATAAATAATTTTATAAATATAGGCCTAACTATTAACCTTAGTTTTTATTAAAATTAAAATGTCTATACTTTAAAACAATTCAACCGGCAATCTGCTCTCGTTCCATGCCATTTAAATTGATTTAGTGTAAACCCCAAAATATATTGCGTATACGCGATGTGAGCCGCTTAGCGTGCAAAACTGTTGCATGCTAAACGGGCCTTCGTGTCGTAAAAACCGCAAAAGCCAAGCAGCAACAAAAATGGGCAACAAATGGCAATGCAAATCCAAAATGGCGTCAACTACAAGAAGAGCAGCGAACAACAACAATGTCAATCCCTTTTTAAAAACTTTTATCGTGCAGTCGAGCGTAAACAAAAATGCCCCAAAAATAAATACAAATACAAGGAGACGAGACTGTGATGGAGACACCCATACAGACACACATACATACAATATGGCAGCGTGGAAAACTAATATGCTTTAATGGCTTAGGACTTTCAAGACTTTGAATGGCTGCCCTCACAATGTTATCCTTTTCTTCAGCCTTTGTCCCTTGGCTTTTTTCGTAAACAAGTCAGATGGATAAAAGCCAAGAACACTGAGAAAAATAAGGATTTAATTTATTAATGCATAAATTAAGTTTATCTAAAATATAAATCAAAATTTCAATCTAGTTGTAGTAGCTCGAAATAATGAATATTAAATTTCTTAATATTAGGAAACGTCTTTCCTAAGTTTAGTTATATTTTTTACTGTTTAGGGGATGTGGCCTGCTTTTT